CCATTCTACCTCTCAAAATGTAGCTCATCTCTTTCCTTACAATAGGCAAGCCTGAATTCCTAGAGGCAGGTGCAGGGACAGGGACGATATGTTGCTGGACCTGCCAGACCTCTATCTTGAACTTGCCAGACTCTTTGAAATCTCTGTGACTCTGCCCTCTGACCGCGACCCCACGTCAGTGCCATCACCTTGGCCGCCAGTTGGCCTGCGCCTCCTGTCTCCTGACTCTCCTCAGGTCTCCAGTGTCCCTCTTCAACTCTCCGTTAGAGTTGATCTGCTTTGTGAGATTGTGGAGTGAGTTCTTTACCCAGTGCTGAAAAGCCTAGGTGAGAGAGGCCGTTCATTGAATACGGATGCCTAGCTCTCGGTAAGCCAGAAGAACTCTGCTTCAGAGAAATGCAGATGTCATAGTCTTGGGAAAGCTTTGTACATTCAGAATGCTGTGATTCTACCTTAACTCCCTAAAAGACTTGAATCACCATCCCTGAGTAGCCTCTAAGAAAATTTCCCCTATATAGAAGGTTGAGTATATCTTCCCTAGATCGAAAAGTTTTGCTGTACCTGAGCTTGTACTTGAGTATGTTCATAGAAGGTCTGCTTTTGTTAAGGCTTGGTCTCCACCTCAACCATGTGGTTGTTGTCCTTAAAAGCCTGGGGCTAGGGGTTGGGAAGGTGGCTCAGTGGTAGAGTGCTTGTCTTGCAAGCATGAGGCCCTGGGTTCGATTCCTCAGCACCACATAAGCAGAAAAAGCCAGAAGTGGTGCTGTGGCTTGAGTAGTAGAGCACTAGCCTTGAGCTGAAGACAGCACCCAGGCCCAGAGTTCAGGCCCCATGACTTAGAACTGTAGATCTTTGAGACAGGAGTCCAACTGCAGTCACTGGCCTTTTAAAAAACACTCCCAGGGCTGGGAATGTGGCTTAGTGGCCTAGCATGCTGAAGCCTTGGGTTCGATTTCTCAGTACCACATACACAGAAAGGGCTGAAAGTAGCTAGCCTTAAGCAAAAGAAGCTCAGGGACAGTGTCCAGGCCCTGAGTTCAAGCCCAATTTTGGCTTCTCTGGGCTGGGAAGGTGGATCAGTGGTAGAGTGCTTGCCTTGCATGCATGAGGTCCTGGATTTGATTCCTCAGCACCAAATACAAAGAAAAAGCCAGAAGTGGGTGCTGTGTCTCAAGTGGTAGAGCGCTAGCCTTGAGCTGAAGAGCTGAGGGACAGCGCCGAGGCCCAGAGTTCAAGCTCCATGACCACCACCACCACCAACAAAAATTTTTTAAAATAAAATAAATAAAAATGGCTTCGCTGAATCTCTCCGTATACCACGAGGACTCACCGACGGAGGCTAGATGACCGGCAATTTCTGACATCACATCTCTGCACAGCTTTCTCTGCGCCGGCCCCAGTAGGAGCCACTCTTCCAGGGTGAAGTTCACAGTTACATCCTCGAAGCTCAGTGACTCCTAGAACACCAAAGACACTTTATATTAGACACATCTGTAAAGACAAGTATTAACTCAGGCCTAGGCATCCCACCACTGCACTAAGTCAAGTGCTCTCCTCAGCATGATTAATGAGTCACTGTTTCCCAGGAGGCCACCGGCTGAAAGGGAAAGAAGCCGTTTCCTGGGTTCCCTAACCACACCAGACTATGTACTGGAGATCCGAGTACGGAGCTAGTTTTGCAGCTGGTGGGTTTTCTGAGTAGTGCTCACTACTTCATTGTCATTTCAAACTTACTCCATTGGAATAAGTTTGAAGAAACTTATTTGCACGTCTTATTTGCACCTGAGAGGATAAAATACCTGATGTCGGTGAGTCTTCTCTTATTAGGAGAGGCTTTTGCTACTCACCCCTGAATTCATTGTCCCTTCAGTGTCCTGCGGTCTTCCTCTGGGTTTCATGCACTAAGCAGGAAAACGTGAGGCTGGAGAAAGAAGCCAGAGACCAGCATCCTGTTCACAATTTCCAGTTCTATCTGAAAGGAGGTCCTGGCTTCTCCACAGCCTGCTACACCCTCTGCCAGAGCATTTGAATAGAGTCACGCAGAGGTTTTCCTTTATCAGGCAGAGTCCAGGCTCTGGAAAGGCTGAGACTGATGGCTGTTAATCACTCAGATACAAATGCAAATACCTTATGGAGAAGAGAATGCCAGGCAACGCTTCCGTACAGGAAGTAGCCCCCCAGCTTTGGAGATTTTTGATCCTTTTCCAGATTTCAAAATATAGAAACCCTGACTCATCCCTCCTGTGGTTTTTGACTTCTACCAGCAGATGAATACTGTCGGATTTCTTCATGTCATTCTTTTTCCTCAGCTTGCCAGCACCTTGCATCCAACTCCTCGCCGCACTCTCTCCGTTCTCATGTCTAGATCTGCCCCTCGTGAACTTAGTTTGACCTAGGATCTGTTGTAGGGAAGGTTCTTACAAATGAAGACACCATTTTTTTTTTTTTCTGGGAAGGATCATTGAGACTTACCTCACCAATAGACCTTCAGTTCTTGTTTTGCAAACAGACGAGAGTATATCATAATGGTATGGACACATCTTTTAAGAGTTATTTAATGCGGGGCTGGGAAGGTGGCTCAGTGGTAGAGCGCTTGCCTTGCATGCCTGAGGCCCTGGGTTCGATTCCTCAGCACCATATAAGCAAAAAGAAAAAA